GAAATGTTGGGCCTGTGACTTTAATTTTTGTTATCAACTAACTTCAACCACCTAAGCCTGTCGGACTTGGTGGTGTTTTTAACGAGTTTTCGGTATTAGGCGATACTGTCGTAAAAGCAATCAGAATATTTCTTTTTAAACCGACGGTGGAAATAATTTTTCTTAGCAATGTAATACCTTAAGGTACAGGAGGACCAGTGAGGGAATTGGACTTGCGGCCATAGCCACAAGAAATTGCCTGCTCCATGGCATCCCTGACATCAGCATTGGGGCTTCCGACTGCTACACATAAACAGAAGTTTCATACACGCTTGACCAATCATACGTGGACAGAATATTGTAAAGCAAAGTGTAGTTGCCTGCTGCGAAATTTCGATAACTGAATTCACAATTTAAATTACTATTATCGTGAGGTAAAGAGACATCAATTCTCAGAGGAGCGCGATATGTATCAGGAGCGACCAATCCAGAGTCGGCAGGAACAGACTTTAGATCAGCGAAATTTGCAAAGACTAGGTCAAGCATGTTCAACGCACTGCCTTAGGCCAAGAAGACATGTGGGGGTGTATATAGAGTCCCCTTTGAGTTTAGAATAATAATGATATTTACGTAGATGTGTCCCGCTCTCAAGTTAAAGCCGGGAGCATTGAAGTGGCCAAGTAATATAACGCGAGTATTGTTGGTGTCCAGTAGCCAGTAATGACTTCCGGTTTGGTGTCAGGGGAGACGTAATGGTTACCAATAAGCATGTATATGCCATCAGCAGTGGGCATCTCAACCCATACACATTCAGGGCATAGTTCTAAATCATACATGAGGCTGCAGGAGGCCAGGCTGGCGGTAATGGCTCTTGTTACACCACCACCGCGAGCCTTGTATATACGTGTATATGGCCGGTGAGACCGGTAAACGGGGTCTTTGTAAGATTTGAGGCTTTCACGGCGGTGACTATGAAGAAAGCAGTCTTCTGGGATTTGGCACCGTGTATATGTGGTGTTAACCGACGTTTCAGAGGAACGTATCGCCTCCATCTTCAGGGTAGAAGGAAAAATATAAGAAATCCGCAAGCGAAGAGACCGTGAGAACCGGTAAAAGCAGACTGCAGTCGGTTAACACCACATATACACGGTGCCAAATCCTAGAAGACTGCTTTCTTCGAATGGTGTCTTTGTTAGGAAATAATTTGTGATCGTAGCACAGGTCATTGAGCCATGTCTCGGACAGAAAAATAATAATATTATTGATAATAGTACACAGTTCTTGTTTATATGCGTATAAACTTACAGCTCAAAGGCCAGTTACAAAGTCAGCACGAGTATGTAGCAGGGCAGAAAAAACTAACAAACAAAATAAAAAATACGGCAGTCTATACGAAAAATTTAAGTTATCATTTATGGGTGAGGACAGTAAGATAAGTGGGTTTCCAGTTGTTATGTCATTATGTGGAGAGAAAGGGCTATACACGTACATTACACACATAAAATGTAAGTAACGGTATCCCTGTAACGGGCCGTGGAAGCCCATAGGCTTGTGAGATGTTGAGGTTCCCACATTTTCTAGACAGTCAGCTTATAGATGGCAGTAAATTTGTCAGCCTTACACGTCGGCTGCCCTTTACCCTCAAGAAAAATCTAAGAATATTCCTGGTACTCTTTTGTTGGAGGCTGAGTCGACCCCAGGGCCATAGTGGGGTTGGAAGGATTAGATGAATTGAAAAAACCCTATGACCTCATCAGGATTCGATCCCGCGACCTTCCGACTTGTAGCATATTGTCGCAACCAACTAATAATAATTCAGTTCAGTTTTTTATTATTTATGTACCGAGTCAAGAGCCACAAGGCCAATTACAGACAGAGCACAGTGTAGATACAGGTAATTACATTATGGGGAAACACAGCATAAAATCAAAGACAAATTATTAGCAAACCCTGTACGAAAGAACTCATTAATGCAGAAAGTAAACAAACAAACAAACGAAGATGAGGAGTGTTAACAAGAACGTGATAACTAAGAACTATATAACACAGAACATAATAATAATAATAATAATAATAATAATGCCGGTCATGATAGCCGAGCTTCGCTCGCTCGGAAGCCGGGATTGTGGGTTCGAATCCCATTCAAGGCATGGATGTTCAGTGTTTGTATGTGTGTGTGCGTGCGTGAGCACGCGCGATTTTCTGTGTTTGTGTACAGGTAGAGGCCTTGCGACCAACTGATCACCCGCCCAAGGAGTCCTACCGAATATCTAAGATCTAGTAAACCGAAATGAAGCGGAGAGCTTCACAGAGGTAGGCCAAGGGCCAATTGGGGCCTCAGCGCCAAAGGAAAAAAATAATAACAATGATAACAATAACTCAATTAATTCTTACTTATTTGTGTGCTAACTCAACATCAGATGATGATAACACTATTGTAAAAACGATTGAGGAGAGTGTTCCTGGCTCCGACCCGGGCCGCCGCGGTGGGAAGCCAGCGACTAACCGCTTGAGCTATGGCGCGGCCCGTATTCTTAAGTAAGTCTTTGATGTTCCTTCGTATCTTTTTGAATTGCGGCTGTTTCTATATCATATTAAAAATGTTGTTTCTTCTTCTGCGTATCAAGCGTTGCCTTGCGTTCCTTGTAGTGATTTTTGGTGTGTGATTGCTCTCACTTAAATACTTTTTAGGCATCGAGTGAGCTACCTATCGTAAAGTTCATATATTATTTGAAATATGGGGTTGTGTACCTCGATGTGTGTATCGTTCTGTAAATGTTGTAACGTGGATGGCCAGCGCTTGTATTAATGGAAAACGAGATTACGCAACCCGCTTCTAGGCAACGGCTCAGCAAACAGACTTCGCACAGGTGCAATGACGTCATACTGCAACATTACTGTCACGTGACTTGGTTTCTGTGGTCATTGCGGAGGCTATATCACGAGATTGCAGGAGTAACTAAGGCGCGCGAGTCATAGAAGGCGACGAAAAGGGAAGTCTCAATCTGAGACAGTAAAATATGGTCGCGAGTAGCAGGGGACTCTGACCCGAGAGAGACTGCGCTGTCAAGGACCAACAGCATATACAAAAGACAGACCCGTCCTCTCGTCAGAGAGAACGCCCCACAGAAACAAGACGGTAACTGCCAAATAGTAATAAATATCTCGTCATGAGCCCCAGATGGATCCCAATGAAACACTGAACACTACCTAATATTGATATTAATAAAGTTTACGTTAATATCAGTATCTTGTCATGCCTGAACACCTTTGTTCATATTGGTAAGAAAATTAAATCATCACAAAATCTGAGCATGAGATCAACAAAGAGTATATAGATATATATTACACCATTCTACTAAACACAGTAATTTACTAGGTTGGTCAGAATGGTTAAATCGGCGTAGAATAAACTTTGAAATAACACAATCCAATGTAAACAAGTCTAATACAAACAATTCAACATCTAAATGAACGCAGAATTTTCGATTATTTGGAATTCAGTACCATTTTCAGAGGCTTAACTTTAAAAGGAACTTTGCTTACAATTCATGTAGATGTAGATATATTATAAGTTATACAGTCACAAATTATAAAATATGTTAAAACTGTTCATGTTCAAACATTATCAGAAAATAGTTTTCTTGTTGTGTGTTCATCTTTGAATTGATATGTTTTTCTTTTATTTTTGATGCCATTTTAATGTCTGCAGGCATAAGGAAGCATAGGTATGTTAATGTTTACCATATCATGTTATATGATATTAATAGACAATAAACACATAAGGCCATATGCATGTTGAAATGTTTGTATTAAAGTTTGTTTACGTTGGATGGTTTGACATTCCAAAGTGAATACAAGCACAATGGCGAAGACGTATCGTAGTAAATGTGCCATCAGTTGGTACACCTGCATACCGTCGCTGCCTGGTAACGAGAGGCCTGACACCACAAGCTTTAAAACATCACTCGATTTTAAATTCAACAATGAATATACATTGATATGTTGGGTTTTTGGACTTTATGAATATACATGCTGAAATACATGATCTTTGTAAATTCCAATTCGGCAGGCAGACTTTTGAACTACAGCGCAAGAGCTGCAAGAAGCAAAATAACTCCACGAACAAAACAGTAAATACGTAGTACGAAGCTCTTCATTAACACGTGCTAGCCGTTGCAGCCTTCCAGACCATTCTAATGAGAGGATCTTCAACCTAGGTTATGATGTCATCTGTGTTTCAATTTAGAGACCCTCAACTCTACTGCGAGCCGTAAAAAGCATTCTAAAAATTCCTGAAAATACTATTATACGAAAATGTTCTGCACCCCACTCCCCGAAAAATTCCTGTCCATGTCCATACATTGTGTTACAGTAGATGTCGGAAGGGGATGGTTACAAACTAGCCGTCTACTACCCTCGAGTTTTGAGGGAGGGAAATTGAAGAAAATAACGAAATATACCAAGGAATTAGTATATAAAAATTATTATTCTATCCTGAATATTGTAGGGCGACCAGTAAAAATGGTATTAAACTGCTTAAACTTAAGTTTATAAACAAATTTTCTGGCTACCCGTCTCACCCAGAAACCTAGATTCCACCCTCCGTCCTTCCCCCCGGAAAAATTCTGGTGTTGCCCGTGCAATGAATCTATAAATCTGTGAAATTCTCTCAATTAATTTTTCACAGTCACAATACACTCTCGTACTTACAAGTATGAGAAAGTAAAATTATATTTTATTCCAAAGTTACATGCAATTTCAGTGTCAAAACCCGTTCTTATGTTAAGACTGCTCATCCGATCATGTAGCACGCAAATCCTGGCTGAACACACTGTCTGCGCCGTACAGCCGTATGCTAGGTGCAGGACTATGGTTACAGTAGCTTAGTTTTGTAATGACACACGAGAAACCTCGAGCCCTTCTGTGTGTAAATATTAAATGCTTAACTATTCAGGTAATTGCAGAGAACTGTCACCTTAACAGATTTTAACAACTAAGAGGCAAGTGATGCCACTTACCTGAGAAGGCAGAAGGGATTGAAGTTAGAAACAGCTTTTGGCTCCGCACCGGGACTCCGGTTTCTGGATCCTGCATCTCCCGCACCAGCCCCTCCATCTGCACAAACGACAATTTTCAGAATTTCATCTCAGTTTCTGTACATGTCCTGGTACTGTGCATTATTTACAGAATGTATGTACAATAATAATAGGATTTGTGTTCCACGCTCAGAAGGTTTCATCTGCGAAACCACTAAGCAGATTTCAATTCAAGTTGTCATTCTAGTTCAATTTTTGTGCGTATCGACCCAATATAACCCCTATTTTGCATGAAACCAAAACAGAGGTTTATTTATTTTCTCACAGAAAACTGATCAGCGTACATAAACACACGAAATGCGGACCTGGTTACAACTTATTGTTTAAAACACTTTCCGGCATGGTGAATATAAAACCATATATATGACAAAATATTCCTTGTCTTCGTGCGACATCTATCGTGCTATTTGATTATATACAAAGGATGTAATCCTTTATGACAACCTGCTTTAATATTTAAAATCTTTGCAGTTTTCCCACACACAATATGTGTGTGTGGGCAAACACAATATATGAGAATACACAGGATTTGTTTTCCTGAACAGTTTTATGCAATGTGTCCTTAAAATGGAGTTTCGATATTTTTCATGTGAGATAGAAACTTAATTTATAAGATATTTACAAGAAATTTGTAATTCAGAGGGCAAAACCTGAAATAAATTATCGAGATTAATGTAATTTTGCAAAAAAAAAAAAAAANAAAAAAAAAAGCGAAGCTTACTATCTTCCGATGTGTGACGCCATGAATGTATATACAATATTTCGCGATGTACACGAAACGTTGGTAAATATTATCACTTGTAAGGAGTTACGCTTGACGGAAATATGGGTTCTAGTTCCGTGATTGGATTTATTAGTACTTTGGTTACGAGTTTTCTAAATCACACTTAAATACAGCGCTATCGCTGTTTACACAGTTTCCGGTCCACCGTTACACACGCACTATGATTGTCAGGTTTCTTTAGTCGTCTCTTGGCAACGGATCACAACAGAGAAACTAGCGCTTCAAATCACTATGATGTGTTCTTGCTATTTCGTCTTCAATAAACTCTGGAACTTCGGAAGTAAAATTCTTCTGGACTCACTCCTCCAGCTTACGACTGTCTCGTAACTGCCCCTGAACTAATTCTGTCACTCCCTCGGTTGAATCGGAGACCCCTTCAGTCAAAAGATTTCAATGAATTTATATTAAATTTGGTACTGGAAGCCTACATAGCGAATTTAGTTTCGGTTTGTGCCATCGTCACATAACCTCTTACTTTTTATGATTAAATCGACCTTCACAGTTTCCATGGAAAACTATTCATCGTACAGAGAATTAACGTACATCTGAACCACGTGGTAAATATAACCGTGAATTTTATCTTGGACACTTAACGACAGGATTTGTGAGCCTGTTTAAAGATAACGGCATTATAATAAAGTTTCGTATTCCTAATTATAATTGTCACGTTTCAAATTTTTACTTGATTTCTGGCATGGCCTCAGACAGGAGAATGTCAAGTAGAGAAATCAAGACATTTATTTGTATCAGCAGTTTGTATCCTGAACAGCAAGGCATTCAAATGCGCACATAAACCATTTGTAGAAAAAATGGGAATAAAATTGCATCGAGCAAACAGACCGACGGAGAGGCTACCTAACATACTATTATTTTAGTTTCTTTTAATTTAACCTGAAAGATTCAGTGTATTGCCAACTAACTGAACGGAAGAAATAAGTAGTACTTCTGTGAAACGTTAAGTTCACTCCAGATACACAGCTGTATTCTTCAAATAATGTTGTTAAAATATAAATAAGGATGAGATGTAAAATTTATTTGGATTGAGTTGGCTCAGAATAAGGGGATTAAATTTCGGATCTCGTCAAATTGTACAATTTAACTTCCACCTAAATAATATATTTATGCCCCGTAACATGCATTCAGGCAATACTCTTACCGATAACATAAGATTTGTAGCAGTAGTCCAGAATCAGAACCAGATAGGCGCTTCTAAACAATGCCTGATTACTAAACTATAACGAGTACCAGTACATATTCTATTAATAGGTATACGCTATCTAGACAATTCGAAGGTCTCAGCGAAACACTACAACCGGATTCCACTCGTAAAAGCCATGAAAGTGCTTACGGTCCAGCAGATCTGGGCTTTCGATGTTCTACATGGAGATCAAGAAGTTTCTACGTACTAGGAGACCATCGGAGTACTTGAGGATCTATTTGGGGACAAGCACCTGGTCGCACAATACCGCAATCGGCTGAAGACTCCAATCCAAATCCTTGGTGGGTCTCTTCAGGAGTTCATGCTCGCCATTAAAGCGTTGACCAATTCCTGCCCTACACAAGGATCACTTTGTAGGTGACCAAGTAAGGCATTCTGCAACGGTTTATGAGATCGAGGCATGAAACAACCTACTTCTTGGAGCCAAGAGGACACTAAACGAGGCCCTCAGGCAGACCCTCGAGATGAAAGTGGCAAAATGTAACCGTCGGGTCTTCTCCCAGGCTGCTGAAAACAGATGGCAAGGAACTGTGGCAGAGCTGCCAAAAGAAAGGTGAGGCTGCCGATGGCTTATGTGTCGGCGCTGTAGGACTACTGACCACTAGCGAAAATTCTGATTCCACTGACACGAAGAAGAACGGAAGACGAGCCTACAGATCCATAACCGTCCTTGTTCGGAAAAGCAGGTGCATTCTGTAAGAGGTTCTCGCATCAAAAACTAAACTAACTCAATGTACTTACGAGGAAGGTCGTAGTGTAAATTGGAATGAAGCCAAGGTCTTGCAAACCAAAAATAACCGAAGGGACCGGAAGTACAAAGAACTGGCCCCTTTGGCGGGTTCAGCTAATCCAATCAGCCAAACCGTGTTTGAAATTTCCCACATGTGGATTCACCTCAAGATCAAGGAGGTTAGCAACTAATAGGTAATTTGGATAAGATTGGACAGGTTCTTTCGGTCTTCCTGCATGAATTTAGTTTCTGTTTGAATTTTTGGCCCATAGATGACGCAAGCAGTAGGTGGTTATTACAAAACTTTCAAATATAGATTTTCTTCTGCATTAATATTTGTGGTTTCGGTTTGTTTGTTTTGGATCGATGCGTTTGTTTCAATTTTTTCTCTCTCTTAGTTATGGGTTTTGGCATGCATTTCCACATTTATAATTTCAAATTTTCCTATTATCTTCTATTTCAATGTTTTCATCTGAAGGTGAAGACATCCCCCCCCCAAAAAACAAAATAACAAACTCCGTGGCCTGTAGTCTGGAAGCGAACTATACCGACCGTGCGACCGCCGCTTGTCGGTGAAGTTAGTGCCATTTCTGCGGATAGAGGCTGTCACGTGGTCAGCGCAACAAACCCCACAGCCGTTAATCTCGGTTTTCTAGACCGGAGCCGCTATTTCCTTGAAATAGCTCCTCAATTGTCCTCACGATATTGGGTGGACCCAGTTCTAGACCCACTACATAGAAAATCTGAGAATGCCGCGAATCGAACCCGGGACATCTGGATTTGTAGCCAGGAACTCTGACCACAGAGGTCGGTAAAGACATCCATTTTCCGAAAAATGTTGTCTCCTTTTAGAATATTGGACGATTGGCAAAGCCCCAAAACTCGGTAATCCCAAATGCAGTAAACCATCATCAGAATGCTTTATAAGAGCTAGCCTTAATCAATCGTCCAGTGAATGAGGCTAGCTCTTTCTAAGGGACCCAACAGAGTAGATGTCTTCCCTCACCTGAGGAAGGAAACAGATCCAGTTTCCGAAACGTTGCGTTTTTTCTTATTTATTCAGAATCCGGACGATGGACAAAGTCCGAAAACCTAATATCTCTGTTTGTGGATACCGTTCACAACTTTTATTTAAGACGACGTTTCAAAAACTGACCTTTATCTCCGTCGTCAGGTGAAAATCCGGTCTTTTCGGCCCAAATTCGGAGATGAGACCTAACTCTATCGATTGGATCAACCAGAGCGGGTTTTTTACTTGAGAAAGAAGACAGAACCTAGCCCCCCAAGCCCTGTTTTATTTAAAAAAGTAGGGTGATAAATAGTGTCTAGAAAATTAACCACTTCGTTCATATACCATCGTCAAGAACTTCTGGCTCTTGTGTGGGACAGAGTTGCAAATGAAAGCGCGCCGTGTTTCAGCTCGTACCCAAAATGAGGTGTCATAGAAAGTGGACTACAATCTAATTTCACCTGTTCCGCTTCTTGACCTCTTCAGTTAGGCCTCTCGTCAGGCCACGGCATAGCTCAGGCGGTTAGTCGTGGTCTTCGCATCTCGGCGGACTGGGTTCCAGCCCGGGCCTTGTGGGATTTGTGGTGGGAAAAGTAGCGCTGGGACAGGTGTTCTCCGAGTACTCCAGTTCCCTTGCCAATCTTCATTCCACAAACTGCTACACAATCACCATCATTTATCATCTGGGACTCGTACAATAGGCCAGTAGTGGCCGCAGAACCAAGTGAAATCAGTCTCACCCCGCTAAGAATAATAAAAAATAGGTCTCTCCTCAGACCAACTGGAATGACGACGTACTCGTAGTGTTGAAGCAACTTCATGAACGAACAAATTCTTAGCGATCTGCATCTTAAAACTTGTGACAATCAATTCTGTGGGTGCCTTATTCCCTTCCTGTATCTGCATTTTCCGTTCTCCCGCATTCTTTTTCTCTTCCTCCCTTTCTTTTTTCATTCTCGACTTATTGTCTTTGTCCTCTCATTTCATTCGTCCATTTATTCAGCCATTAAATTTGGTTCTTCGTTTTATTCATCTCCCCACCCGTCCTTTCATCCTCTCTTCCCCTCCTCGCACTCGATTTACTACAGCCAGCTAGTAGCCTACGTCTGTTATCCAGTTCAAGTCAAAGTGACGTTACGACTTAGTTTCAGTCAATCAGTTCGCCTTATATAGTCACTTGACGCTTAGGACCTGATTTTATGCTCTGTCTTCACAGTGACAGTTTTTCCTTTGTGTGACGTCCTCTGTGACTAAAAGACGTGTTTGTACCTTTCTGT